GCTCGGACCCGCCCGCCCGATCCGGGTGCCTGGGGCCAAGTCCGCACTCCCGCGTGGTGACGAGCACTTGACACCTTGGAGCCGCAGCTTCCTTATAAAAATGTTGGCGATAAGACACACTTAGCGGATGTCCAGACTGGAGGAGATAATGCAGGCCGAGGGCTATTACCAGGGCTGCCGGCGAGCGAGTGCCTCGTGGAGACGGCTTACGGTGAGGATCCGTGAAGGTCCTTGTAAATGCCTGCCAGTCCTGCTGTTGGTTCGTAGCGGGCATCAGGTGCACCGCCAAATCGGAATCCCCTCTGCTTGCTGGGCCTGGGGGCTTCCAGCCTGGCCTCCCTTTGTTTCTCAGATTTGCTCCCCCCCCCAACCCCCCCAGCCCCAGCCCAATTGCTGGGATGTCTCCTGAGACAGGATTTCAAGGTAGAGCAAAAGCGCCAGCGATTGTCGTTTCCTGCCCTTCCAGCCCCTGGGCCGTGGGTAAGGGCAGGAGGCTCTAGTTTTAGGGCCCCTCTTGGCCCAGATTTGGGGTGAGGTAGTGCCACACTCTGACAACTGAAATCAAGCCCCTGCGATATTTTGGTTTGCTTTAATATTTCGTTCTGTTAAGCGATCCCCCTACCCCCTGGTGTGTTGAAGATTCTCAACTCCTGTGGGCCCAATCAACACACGCTGACTAGGTGGCTCTGTCAGAGTAGTGCAACACGGTAATGAGGGCACTGGCATTTCTCCAACGCCATTTCTTCTCGTTTCCCTTAGTGCTGCTCCTATACAGAGTGAACCCTCCGTGTTTGCTACAGCGGAGGCTCAGGATATAAGTAAAACAGTGTTTTTCTTTCTTCCTCTCCTGCCTTCTGCATTCATCCATCTTACTCTTTTTATTTTTTTTTAATCCTCACTCGAGGATATGTCTTCATGGGTTTTCTAGAGAGAGAGAAAGGGAGAGAGAGAACATCAATGTGAGAGAAACATTGATCTGTTGCCTCCCCTATGGGACCAGACTGGAGATGGAGCCCACAACCTAGGTGTGTGTCCTGACCAGGTATGAAACCCGCACACTTTTGGTGTCCAGGACGATGCTCCAACCAACTGAGCCCCCTGCTGGGGCTCATCCATCTCATCCTTATGACATACAAGTAAGAATGCTTACTCCTGCCAGACACTCTGCTAGGGGCTTCCTGCTTATATTTTTGGAGCTTCACAGTCACCTAAAGGTGGCACTTTCATGCTCATTTGCAGACAGGAAAGGGACCCTTAGAGAGGTGAACTACGATGACTTCGTGATGGACCTGGCCTCTGGTTTTCAACCTGTCTCTGGTCCCGAGCCCATTCTTAGCAACCATGTGATGCTGCCCCCCTATTCTCTAGGATTCTCTCCGTGTTTTCTTTTTTCTTCAACAATTTTCCTTTCTTTTTTTTCTTTCACAATCTTCCCCTCTCCCATTTTTTTAGTTTGCTCCCCCCCCTTTTTTTTTTTAATTCCTGAGACCTGCTCAAGCAACTATTTCTCTAGCTTTTCCCAACTCTTTCCTGGCAGATCCAGCTCCCATCTAGTGACTGGTTGCATCATGTCCCTGGGGAGGAGTCGGTGGCCTTCCTTATCTGAGGAGAAGGCCGTCGTGTTCATCTGAGTAGGGCTCAGGACAGAAACCATCCTGGTGGGCATCTCTTCTTTCCTGTTGAAGCTCAGAGCCGGCCTCTGTTTCCATCCCAATGCTACCCCAAAATCCTCCCAGACTCCCCTGGTCTCATCCTTAAACAGCTACACTCGGGAGTACAGTACTAGATTACTACAAATGCTCACTTCTCCCTTATTCTGAGGACCCCTTTAGCCTGTGCCTCAGCAGTTTTTCAGTTGCAGGTAAACTAAAATAAGACTCCAACTGCTTAAGCAGAAATAGGAATGTTAACAGTAATCACAGATTCCAGGGGTAGGAGAGGCTTCAGGGAGCCTTCATCTGTAGGGTAAGTGCTGGGACCTGGACCCAGTTTCCCTTTTAACATTTCTGTGTCACCTCCTCCACTCTCATGTAAGCTCTCCATCATGATCTGAAGATGGGTGCCAACTACTTAAGGTAACATGCTGCCTACATCAGATTCAGACAGAATATAATAATCTTTTTCTTAGGAGTCCTTGGGTTATGCGCCCATTCTAGGACCAATCTTTGTGGCCTGGGGGAAGAGAAATGCTGATTGCTTTAAGCCAGGAAGGGCTTGCCCGTGGAGCTGGGAGTAAAGTCGATCCTTATTGTGAAGTAGAGACAGACTCATGGATACAGAGAACAGACTGACAGCTGTCAGAGGGGAGGGGGTTAAGGGGTGGGTGAAGGGATTAAGCAAAGAAACAAAAACCAAAAAAAAGAAAGATTCATGGACACAGAAAACAGTATGGTGATTGCCAGAGGGAAGGGGCCCAGGGAGGGAGGTAGAAGAAAGTAGAGGATGGATAAATGGTGATGGAAGGAGACTTGACTTGGGGTGGTGAACACACAGTACAGTATACAGATGATGTGTTGTAGAATTGTACACCTGAAACCTATATAATTTTATTAACCAATGCCACCCCAATAAATTCAATTAAAAATCTCATATTGTGGAAAATTTCAGGGTATTATTTAAAAGGTATGGGGAGGGGAAGGAGAAAAGAAACACATTTAATGTTTGTTATCTCTCTCTGAACTCATTTTCCCAGTGATTCTAGCATTGAGCCTGGGGTCTATGTTGTACTCCACCATCAGGCTGATAGTCTTCTTGGAAATATTACTATCCTCTTATATCTCCACTGCTCAGCTATCTTCAGTGGCTCCCCATTGCTTTCCATCCCCTTTCACTCATGGCATCTGTAAACATTTGTTGTGTTTGTAGAGCGTACTAGAATACCTGGGGAATAGAGCCTGAGCTGGACCGCAGGCTCCGGCTCCCTTGAGGAGGGAGGGGATCAGGAGCTTAGCACATTGGTTACCATTCTAGGAACATCTTCTGGGAAGCTCTGGTTTATTGAAGTTCAAACCTTATTTCCTGGTTCTTCTGAATCTGACTCGAACTTCACTGCACTCAATGCACTCAATGAACAAGTATTTTTTGAGTTTCTACTATGAGTAGAATATCATCGGGCACTAAATATTTTGAAATGAACCAAAACTTAATTCCAACTACTATTTTTCAAGAACACTTTGTTTTAGCAAGTCTGGTATACACCCTCCAAAAAATGCCCTACACATTCCTCTCTCTATGGTTTTGTTCTTGCCTCTTTCCATCCCTCTAAATCCCAGCTCTCCTTTCAGGCAGTGGTTCATAGATGTCTGGATTTCTCAGTCCAGTAGCATCAAAACAAAGTTAGGAACCCAAAATAACATACCAACTTCATAATTTTTTAAGTAAAAACAGCCCCCTTCAAACAACCAGAGTCTTTTTTATTATTTCATAAAAGAGTAACATTTTTAGCACCAAAAAGAAAAGTATAACTGAATCATCCTCTTAAAATAATGAAAAAGGTTGATTTTATGTTATGTATATTTTACACAAAAATTTACAAAAAAAAGGAAAAAATACACGCAAAAAGGAAAGTACAGTCCTTTTCAAGAAAGGATAAAGAAGACAACATTACACCGACATATAAAAAAGATAGAACTTGAAATATTTTTGAATGCAGGAAAAATACATTGTTTGGCTTATTATATCACACAGTAATTGTTTACATGCAAGTTTGTGCATTCAGAAATACAAATTTAACAGTGAAGCATGATATAGATCCAAATTGTAGGCTTTGATATAACTTAGGCTTGTTTCAGCACTGAGACCTCAAACATGGAACTTCTCCACCCCCTTACCCTGATTGAAGCCACCTGATCCCCACTGCTCCCATGCCCCACATCCACTACGCCCGCTTGTTACCTCCGTTAAATCTAGTCCCCTCATGGCCACTCACTTCAATGTGGCCTCCTAGACTCCCCATTTTCCTTAAACTTTCTACCCAGAGTGCTAGGTTACATCAAGTGCCAGCTCTCTTCTCTCCTATTCTGAGGCATTCAGGAGGAGTTCAAGGCACAGATATGATTAGTGAGGGTACAAGTTGACACCTGCTAGCCTTGGTCAGGACTTCCCTGCTGCTTC